GTGATATAATGTATAGTTTAAAAATTATATTCTCTAGCAATATAATATTCCGTAGGCTATAGTTGGTCGCATATATCAAATATTTATTGTTTCGCATGCTTTCCTTAAATAAAACCTACGGAATTACCTAATGTGATCAAAATATATATATGAGAATTAATGATTTTAAACATAAAGATTTGATAACAATCTGTATACTATTTTTCATTTTGTTTATTTCTTTATTATTAAAATAAATTACAAAATTACATTAATCATATAATTAAAATATAGATTTTTTTTGTGTATGTTGTATTTCGAATTTTTCAAAATGAGTATAAATTACTAAAACTGTTAAAAGTCCCACATAAAATTTTAAGATCAAGGTTTTAATTTTTTTTTCTATACTAAAATATAATGATTATAAGACCATATGAAGAAATAATTTTAGTTTATATATATTTAATATCATTTTAGTTAAACTATACATCGTATGAAATTACATACTTATATTTTGATATTTGCCTTGAACATATATTGAAAAGTTAATATTTTAATTTTGAAATATGTCATTGTTTTTTTAAAATGATTATAAATTATTGAAACTACTAAACATCTCACATTAAAAAAAAAAATCATTGGTGTAAAGTTTTGTTACACAAATATGCAAATAATCATAAAATCATATGAGTAGAAACCTCATTTAATAAATATCCATATTAAATTTGTGTTATATTACTATGTTTATATCATTTAAATTTAATTATATATCATATACAATATATAAGATTTACTATTTTGATTTATTTACCCTTATTATGAATAAACAAGAGTAATAGTTAAATTTATATGCATACGCCAATTTATTACATAATAGTAACTGATTTCTTAGTTATTTAATATATATTTATTATTTTCTTATTTATAATATGCAGAAAATATAAAATAAATAATAAATATATAATACTTATTGTGCATAAAGTGCAGATCTTAACCTAAGTATGTATCTATTTAATTATTTTAAATCTTAAGTATTTTCTAAAACACTTGAAATGAGAATAAAATTCAAAATAAATATTTATATCGAGTAATAACCAAAATATAAAAAAAACATAGCAAGAGAAAAATGTAAGATAAATAGGACTGACACGTGAACGTGAACTTCTCATAACCATAATTAATTTTTAAATTGTTAAATCATGATATAAAACTGAGTTAATTTTTAATTTGTTAATTTTTAATTTTTAATTTTTTTAAATCATTATGGTTATGTTAAATCATGACCATAATTAATTTTAAATTGTTTATTTGTATTTGAAAAACTCAAATTATTGTTTTTAAAAATAATTTAAAATTTAACATAATTTTTTATAAATTATTTTAAAAAATAATAATTTGTAAAAAATATAATTTTCTAATATTATTAGACAGATAAATAAATTATATTAAATTAGTTTTGAAACTTTATATATTTTAAATGCAAATATTTTACCAATTGCTAATACTCTACCAATCAAGCCCAGTGACACTCCGTTTATTTTCCATCACTCAAACATTTAAAAGTGAATATATGAAATCAGATCTATTAAATTCTAAGACTTAATCTACATTTCTAACTAAAATTGTTTCTGATCCTACGTATAGATAATTATATAAAAATTTCAAAATTCTTAAATTTCAAATACATACAAAAACAATCATATGTAAATTTTAAATTTGTCAATACTAAATTTTTATATTTTAATTACATATATTCACCCTGCGCAAGGCGCAGGTCTTATCCTAGTAACCATATTATAACCAATAAAAAAACAAATTACATAATAAAATTATTAAATTTTGCATTGAAAACCAAAAAACGACACATATTTTGTAATGCAAAAAATTATCTACAACGACACTTAGAGCAACATTATTGGTTTGTCCCAATTTTGGGTCCTTAACATATTTTATGATTATTTTGATATTAAGGACAAAGTTAAGGACTTTTTAGGATTTATAGTTTATTGGTAGGACTTTGTTGAGTCCTAAAAACAATTTTAATTGGTTATTTTAATAACTAATGACATATAGAGTAGTTTTAAATAAAACATATAACATTAAAATTGAAAACATAAACCTTTTATTAAATTCCAAGATCATAATTAAACATTACAAAATTGAAAAAATTACAAATTACACCCAAATTACAAATCATAGAGCCTTAAACATTATATGTTATTTTGAAGATGTCCAAATTTAGCCCAAATATTTTCAACCAAATCATTTTTTAATTGTTGGTGGACTTGTTTATCTCGAACTCTTGTTCGTCGTTGAATCGTATTGCCGAGATTTGTAGGCATATCGACAGAATATGTGTGATCCTCATCTTCTCCTTGAAATTCTAAAAAGTCATACTGTGTGTATGAATCTCTTTCATCTTCGACAATCATATTATGAAGTATGATACATGCTCTCATAATATTTGCTATTTTGCTTTTATCCCATAAACTTGATGGATTTTTAACCACGGCAAATCTTGCTTGCAGGACTCCGAAGGCACGCTCAACATCTTTTCGGACCGACTCTTGGGTTTGAGCAAATAACGAATTTTTTGGACCTTGTGGTAGTCGGATAGATTGAATAAAAGTCGCCCATTTCGGATAAATACCATCTGTGAGATAATAAGCCAAATTGTACTCTGTTCCGTTGACATAGAAATTTACTTCTGGCGCTACTCCGTTAATAATGTCATCAAAAACAGGTGATCGATCTAGAATATTAAGATCGTTCATAGTACCTGGAGCTCCAAAAAACGCGTGCCATATCCAGAGGTCATATGAAGCTACCGCCTCCAACACAATTGTTGGTTTGTCGGTTCCTCGTGAATACATACCTTTCCAAGCGGTTGGGCAATTTTTCCACTCCCAATGCATACAGTCGATGCTTCCAACCATCCCTGGAAATCCACGTTGTTCTCCAATATGGAGTAATCTTTCGAGATCCTCCGGCGTGGGACGTCTTAGGTATTCATCGCCAAATAAGTTGATTATGGCGGCCGTAAATTGGTGCAGACATTGTCGAGCCGTTGTTTCACCAAGTCGAACATATTCGTCCACTACGTCAGCTCCACCACCGTAAGCCAATTGACGAATTGCTGCAGTGCATTTTTGTATTGATGATAGACCAGGACGTCCGGCTGCATCTTGCGTTTGATGAAAATACGGTACTTCTGTGGAGAGACGATGAACAATACGCATGAACAATGATTTGTTCATTCGAAACCGTCGCCGGAATATATTGTGAGGGTATGTTGGAGTTTTGCTAAAATAATCATTCCAAAGCTTAACGTCGCCTTCTTCCCGTTCTCTATCGATAAAAATACGTGGTTTTCTCTCTTTTGGTTCCGGAAAAAGATCAGCGTTTTCAAAAACATCGTCAAATATGTTATCAAAATCATCATCATCATTTTTGTTATAATGATAATGATAATGTGAAGAGGAAGCCATGACCAAATTTTTAAAAGGGAGAAAAGTGTTTAAAAGAGAGCATACGAGAGATGATGTGAATATAAATTATGAGAGATGATGTTGTATTTATAAATCTTGTGATATTTTACAATCGATGCTTGTGATTCTATAGTAACTCTTGTGATACTTTAAAGTTGATGCATTATAAATCTTGTCATACTGCAGTATATCCCGTGATACTATGAAACAAAGAAGAAAGACAAACTATGAAACAAAGAAGAAAGACAAAACCAATAATTGTACTGGTACATATAGTTCAACGAGAAATGAGAGTACATCGTTTACAAATTACACATAGAGAGTACAAAGCCGAGAAAGGGTACAATGCCATTACAAATTACACATGAATCAGTCTTGTGATTTACTTAAACATGAGCAACACACCTATTACAACTAATACCATGACCATTAGACCAACAAAGTATTCGAAGCCATTACTAAACCTTGATTTCTCACCTAACTGAGACACTATCTTCTCTAGCTCCACCAGTTTCTTATCAGTCTCATAGTCACTCAACAAGATTAGAGTTTCTACCTTTTCAGCCAATTCATGTGTGTGTCTATCCATGGCTTCCATCTCCTCCATAACAGCCACATCCCACCATTTCCATACATGGCACTCTCCATCATCAACGTTATGACAACTGTAGTACCTTCTTCCCGGATTGTTTGAATGGTAAGATGTCTTAAGAATCGGTTTACTACCACAGTAGCATTTCTGTGGAAAGCCAAACTCAACTTCGGGTTGAGGAGGGTACTGCGTCCGCGCACCATAGTTGTAGCTAATCTCAGCTTGGTCTCTACGTATTAGATCTTCTGTCTCGCTGTAGCTACTGTCAGCTCTCTCCACACCATAGTCCTCTGATTCTGAAGGCTGACTATAGCTATAGTCATGTCCCATGTTGAGCTAAACCTGAAAAAAAAGAGTTTACAAGTTTTAATGCAAGACATAAAAACAGAGTTTACAGAGTTTACAAGTTTACAAGTTTTAATGCAAGACGTGTGACAAATTAGGTTTCAAGGTTACAAGTTTTAATTCAAGACATAAAGTAAATTGAAAAAAACAGACAAGGTTACAAGTTTTAATTAATGATCCATTAAACCTGAGAGAAAAACAGACAAGGACATAGTACATTGAAACAACAACGAAACCTGAAACAACAACGAGAACATTCGAAATACATGGAGTACTTAAACAAACAACAAACACATGAAAAACATTTAAAAGACATGGAGTAGTTAAAGATAATACAAAGAGAGACTCAGATCAGTGCGAGTAGCTTATTCTTAACAATTTCCTCTGCCTCAGTCAATGTTTCTTTTTTGGCTAGGAGGGTGTCTAGAATTGAAAGCTTTGACAGTGTCTCCTGCATCATGAGATCCTCCTTCTTCATTCCCCAAATGGTCGTGTACTCAGCAACAGACTTCCCATTGTTCCTTTTACCTTTTGCAGCCTTTACACCTTCAGGTCGGATGTCTTCATCACCAACAGTGGTGCTTGAGGTTTGGGAACAAGTTTTCCTCTTCTCACTGCCAGTGGGTTTAATAGTGTTGAGGCTAAGCCACTTCTGTTCAAATCTCAACATACACCACGCATGCTCAAGATTGAACTTCGTGTTGTTATTAGTGAAGAAGATGGCATGAGCCTCCTTGAGGACATCATTCTCATGACGACCAGAAGTGATTTGCCTTTCTGCCGCCGCATAAGCAGCACAGAACTTGTTCACGTAATCATTGATTTTGTGCCACCTCTGCTTGCAATGGAGATGCCCTCTTGCTTCACCAGTTTCATATTCATATGCTGCGACATATTCGCCTACACGTTTCCAGAAAGTCTGTGACTTTTGTTGATTTCCAATGACGGCATCCTTAGAGGTGTTTAACCACCCACTGATAAGGACCTCGTCATCGGCTGGAGTCCATCTCCTTCTCTTCTTTTCCTCCGCTGGTATGTCTTCAGGGATAGTTCCAGCGCTGGTTTGTTGTGAACTGAATGGAGGAAAGTTTTGACTGCTTTGACTGTTGAGAAGACCCATGTAACTAGATGATGATGTATATGGAATCCTTGGATCCATAGCGATTAGAAAAGGGAGGGAATTAGAGAAGTGAAAGGGAGGGAATTAGAGAAGTGAAACCGGAGAGAAAGAAGATGATGGAGATGATTAAGTTAAGTGATGGAGGGTTGGGGTTTAATATAGGAGGGCTCAAGAAGTAATGACCCAACCATAAACTACCAAACCACCAGAATTGTGAACTCGACCATAACCTCAAGAAGTAATGACCCAACCATAAACCTAAGAAGTAATTACCCAACCATAAACCTAAGAAGTAATTACCCAACAATAAACTCATGAAGTTATGACCCAACCATAACTCAAAAAGTAAATCGAACCATAAAGCAATTCTGTTTTTCTAGTACATGATCCCTAAAGCAATCGAACCAAAGAAGTCTATGTAGCTACAATCAGAAACAATATTGTTTTAGTATTCAAGATATTTTTCAAAGAAACATTGACTCTGTACTATGTCTACATCTAACAAAAAATCTAAAGCATCACAAACAGAAACACGAATCAAAATCTCCACCTAATAAAAAATCTAAAGCATCACAACCACAAACACGAAGTTTACTTTGGTTACTTTGGTTCTTATGCTTCTGCTTTGGATTACTTTGATTACTTTTGTTCTAAAGCATCACAACCACAACAACTAAAATATATGTTGTTCTTATGCTTCTGCTTTGGTTACTTTGATTACTTTTGTTCTTCCTAAAATTACACGAATCAATCTAAATCTAAAACAAACACGAATCAATCTAAAACAAACACGAATCAATCTAAAACACAAACACGAACACGAACATGAACCAGAGCAAAAAAATTCTAAAGCATCCCAAACACGAAGCATCGTCTCAACAAAAACAAATCAAACCAAGAGAAGACACACATACAAATACAAAAAAAAACCAATTTGCAAAAAGGAAGACAGAGAAGATACACATACCTGGTTTGTCGGTTCGATTGAGAGAACACGGAGAGGAGATATCGTCGTCGATGGAGAATGGTTGAAAGGAGAATGATTTCCAGACCGAAACTCGTCTTTCCCCTACGAACACGAAGCATGCAATGAAATCGGAGATAGATCGACTTTTAAATCGGGATACGGAGGAAAACCAATAACAATGAAATCTGAGATAAGGAGACATACCTGGTCTGTATAGGATTCGGCAGAGAATCGACGACGACACAGATCGGTGTCGATTGAGAGAACACGGAGAGGTGTCTTCGAAATCGCCGTGGAGAAAAAAGGATTTGGGAAAGGAGACCAAAATTATTTCGAGACTGAAACTCGTGTTTCCACTACCTCTTCGTTTTACGTATCACAAGATGACACGTGCTCCTTAAGGACGCTCTCGAAAACTTCTTATTTACTTAACGTTTCCTTTCTTTTCCCGTATTTTCTCGTATTTCTCATTTATTTTTTTTAACTTTTTAGTTAAGGACGACGTTAATATACGCCGATAATGTTGGTCTTAGGAGGGAGTATCTCTTGCCACGCTGAAAGGCAATCCAATAATTTCACTGGCGTTAAAATCTATTTTCAAAACTACAAAGACAATTAGAGACGAACTACAAAAATAAAGGGACTTAATGTGAAAATAAAAAAAGAGTAATGCGCACTCCCAAAGTAAAAGACACACCTAGAGAGAGAGAGAGAACGGAGAGTGACGTAAACGCAACCGGTGAAAGCACCCTTTTAAGTCCCCGCCGGTGACTCCAAACCGTCCTAACCAAAATCATCTCAGCTTCTCCCATTACCCTTTTCATAAAGATCTTCACTTTCTGGGGGATTCATCTCTCAAAATCCCATCTCTTTACAGAAAGAGACTCTTCCTTCCAGGTTTGCTTAATTCTATCACAAACTCGAGAAAGTGTTAGACTTTAGTTACAACAGAGTGTTATATGTATTGTGTCACGGGAGCATAATAGTTAATGAATGATGTGAAGAGGCTATATAGTATTTTGCTCTGTTTTCTTGATTAGTCTTAATGTTCGATCTGTTTTCGTTATCTTTGTACTCTTTTGTTAACTAAAAGTCAAAAAAACTTGTCTGAATTTTTAGCAGTGTTCTTTAGTATTTATGTGTGTTTCTTAAACCGTGTAAGACTTGATTGATTTCAATGTTGAGAATTTGTTTATGATGGGAATGATTTTGTTATCAAATTGTGAAGTGTGGAATCTGATAAAGGAAGAGTTTTTGCAGTATCTTATAGGAAATGATGTTCTAAGTCGTTAGAGGACTCGATATGGAAGGGAGTGAAACAAAGGGGAAAGTCAAGAAACAAACCGAGAAGGCTTGTGTTTCGGTTGAGAGAGTTGAGTCTACTCTACTCTCATCTCTTGTAAAGAAGAAAGGAAAAGAGACAAACAGTAAAAGAAAGTATAATAAGCGCAAAACCGAGGAAGAGATATGTTCAAAGTTCAGCAACAAGAAGTACTCTCGAGGATTGGAGGCGGAGGAGGAGGAAGGTAAGAAAAGGAGGAAGAGGAAAAGCAAGACACAACAAAAGGGTAGTAATAAGGTTGAGGAGGTTGATGAAGCTTTACGGTTGAAGAGGCGAACAAGGTATTTGCTTATTAAGATGAAGATGCAGCAGAATCTTATTGATGCTTACGCAGCTGAAGGTTGGAAAGGTCAGAGGTATAACATTCTTTTTTGAATTTTACTTTTTTCATTGGCCTTATTTAGTTGCAAACAGTTTGATGTGTCTTTGACACTTTGTATGTCCATTTTTTTTATTCAGCCGGGAAAAGATAAGACCAGACAGGGAGCTAGAGAGAGCAAGGAAAGAGATCTTAAACTGCAAGCTTGGACTACGAGACGCCATTCGTCAGTTGGATCTTCTTAGTTCCGTGGGAAGGATGGAGGAGAAAGTGATGGCTCCAGATGGTTCTATTCATCATGACCATGTAAGAATTGTTTTTATTGGGAACGTGCTATGTATACTAGACATTGTCTAATAGAGTTTTACCTTTTGCAGATATTTTGTGCGGAATGCAATTCACGAGAAGCTTCTCTGGACAACGATATAATACTTTGTGATGGAACATGTAATCGTGCATTTCACCAGAAGTGCCTTGACCCTCCTTTGGAAACAGAATGCAGTATGCTTTAGCTATCTATCACATATTCTTATATGTTGTCTTAGAGAGTCTGATTTCTCCTTTATTTTTATGTAATCTCAACAGTACCTCCTGGAGATCAGGGCTGGTTTTGCAAATTTTGTGATTGCAAAATCGAAATCATCGACACCATGAATGCACAAATAGGAACTCAATACCCTGTGGACAGCAACTGGCAGGTACTATAGATAGAGACACTTCTCTATCAGGACTCTGCTCTACTCTTATAGTTTTGAAACCTTCACAGTCTTTTTTTTTCTATGCATTAAGGATATCTTCAACGAAGAAGCTAGTCTTCCTGTTGGATCTGAAGCTACACTCAACAAAGAAGCAGATTGGCCTTCGGATGACTCTGAGGATGGTGATTATGACCCTGAAATGAAGGAAAGAAGCAACAGCAGAAGCGATAGTGGTGATGGTGGTGGTGGTGGTGATAGTGATGGAGAAAGCATTTCGACTAGCGTTAGTTTAGCTTCTGATGGTGTAGCTCTTTCAACAGGATCATGGGAAGGTCATGAGTTTGGGAATGTAGTGGAATCATGCGAGACAAGTAATGAAGAAACTGTACATGGGCCAAGACAGAGGAAGACTGTTGACTATACAAAACTATACCATGTGAGTACAACATCCATGGATTTTAAAATCCCTTCGATGTGTTATTTGATGATGCTTTGGTGGTGAAATTTGTAATCAGGAAATGTTTGGGAAGGATGCTGTATTGCAAGAACAAGGTAGTGAAGACGAAGACTGGGGTCCAAGTGACAGAAGGAAGAGAAGAAAGGAATCTGATGCAGCAGGCACACTTGTAACTATTTGTGAAAACAGTAAGAAAGAGAAAGATGTTGTTGAAGAAGTGCCTGAACAGAGTGAGAGAGATTCTGTTTCTGTAGAAGGTAAAGGAGGGAGACGGCCAATTTTCAGAATCCCAAGAGCTGCAGTTGAGGTCTGAAGTTGCTACTTCCCTGTGTTAGTCTCTTATTTGTAAAAAAAAAAAAAACTTTACTAAGTGAAAGTTGTTTGCAATAAATGTACCAGAAGCTACGTCAAGTGTTTGCAGAGAATGAGCTTCCTTCAAAATCTGTGAGGGATAGTCTTTCAAAAGAGTTGAGTCTTGATCCAGAGAAGGTAACACTTAGATGTTTCTTAGTATTGGCTTCCTGCGTGCTTATGTTTCGTTTTTCAGGTGAGTAAATGGTTCAAAAACACACGGTACATGGCATTGAGGAATAGGAAGGTAAAGAACTCGTTACAGAATTATCGCTGTTACTTGTTTCATTCTCACATATGAGCATTGGCTAGAGACTTATAGAATCTTACAATGAGATCAATCATTTGGCGATTGGTTTCTTATTACAGGCAGAGAGTGTGAAACAACCTGAGGAATCGAAGGGGTTGTCTGGAGAAGATTCTGGACCAGAAGCAGTCATGAAGAAAAACACAGAAGCAGATGAGATTCAAGATACCGCGGAGGAGACTGTCATGGAGAAAAACACAGAAACGAATGAAATTCAAGAAACAGTAGACGAGACTGTCATGGGGACTAACACAGAAACAAATAAAATTCTAGATACCATGGAGGAAAGAACAGAGAGGAATGAAATTCAAGAGACCGTGGTGGAGACTGTAATGGATGAACACACAGAAACGAATGAAGTTCAAGAGACCGTGGACGAGACTATCTTGGAGACTAACACAGAAACACATGAAGTTCAAGATACCATGGACAATGAGACTAACACAGAAACACATGAAGTACAAGATACCATGGACGATGAGACTAACACAGAAACGAATGAAGTTCAAGAGACCGTGGACGAGACTGTCTTGGAGACTAACACAGAAACACATGAAGTTCAAGATACCATGGACAATGAGACTAACACAGAAACAAATGAAATCCAAGAGACCGTGGACGAGGCTGTCATGGAGAAAAACACAGAAACTAATGAAGTTCAAGATAGCATGGATGAGTCTGTTCCGCTCTTGTTTAATGATCCTCTGAAACAAACAACAGTGTCTCCCTGTAATGATGATTACAATGAGGAAACTCAACACGCCAGTGATTCATTTCCTACACCCATAGAAGAAGAAAGTCAACAGTATCTGGAGCAGAAAGACTCTTCACACACTCTACTGGTATGATATAAACTAACCCTTTTGCCAAAATGAATTTATTATAGAGTATAATTGATTCAGTACTGCTCCTATGAACTTGCCTTGACCAGTGGCTTTAGAAAAGTTTAGATTCTTAAAAATTATTTGCTCTCATTTGGTGTACAGCCACATGAAGAGGTAAGCAGCGGAATGAGCCTTGAGACGCCTCTTGAGGATAAGGAAACAGAGAGCAAGGTGAAGGAAGAAGAAGCATTCGAAGCAGTAATGGAGAGGCTTTGTAGGGCAGAAAACAAGTTACTGGATGTAACACAGAGGCTTGAGAGATTTAGAACACCGAAAGGCCGTAAAAAGTTAGGCAAGTCTTCTTCTTGTTCACCTGAAGAAGACTTAGTAGTGTATGTTCCAACAGCAGAGATCAAGGAGAACAGATGAAAAAATAAACTTCGATCTCTTGCACAAGTTTTGGTTTTCTTAGATTCTTTGAGAATTTTGGTTTTCTTAGATTCTTTGAGAACTTAAAGACTAAGAATGTATCATGTAGCTTTTGGACTATTCATTTTGTATGTGATATTTAAACTAATTTTAAATATTAACCACAAGATGTTTTGAAGTGCAAATAAACTTTTTAGTAGTACCTTCTAACAACAGTAACTCTTCATAAATACTGCATAAAAAGAAAGGTTTCACTTTTTAGTACAAAAATAAGAAAGAAAGGTTTTACGTTTTAGTACAAAGACATAGATTAGAAGGTGATAAGACCATTTGGATCATTATAAGCTGTGATTGATGTTTGTATCTTTGTCTCTAGTGTACTCATCTCTTCTTCATCCGCCTGCAAATGCAGCATTCTATTACCATATTTAAAAATAATAATTCATGTTATTATCCCATTAATATATATCTAACACAGCCATAAACAATTTAACAAAAATCGATAACTCTATAATTTCCATAGTTTTCAAAATTAGGAGTTTAGAAGTCCAACCTCATTATAGGTTAGGTTTGAACAGAGGCGGTCCTACCATAATAGAGACTAGAAGCAAAATTAAAAAATGTGGCTAGTGTACATAGGATTCGAACCTAGAATGTCCACGTGATATAATGAACCACTAGACTTGGAGAACATTTGATAATTTTGTGACCGATATTTTAGCTATTTAGAAACGGTCGGAAGCATGGGTTTCATCCGCTTGGCCCAAGGGCCGGCTCTGGGTTTGAATTTGATTGTACAGTACGGATAGTCAAAGGTAAAATCTATTCCAAAATCTAGACTGATTAAACTGCATTACCAGATTATTCTTTCTAATATCAGATATATGAAATATATTAGAATATGTGCAACAGAAACTCTATAAATTAACATTTGGTAAATTAACAAAACACTATAAATTAATATATTTCTTCAGTCTTAATCTAGGCTGGTTCAAAAATATGACACTAATCCATAAAATAATAAGATAACAATTTTGAAAAAATTTTATGTAAAAATTTGACACTATTAAAATTATATTTTAATAATTATTATGTATACGTATTTTATATAAATACAAATCTATCATGATATTTTTTTTTTCTATTCACAATAGAATAATCTTTATCTTTTTAAATTTTTTTTTCTTTTTGTTTTTTTGACATCCTTTTTAAAAAATTTAATATACTTTGATGAGATTATTAAAACTATATCTAAAACCATATTTAAAATTTATGAAATATATTTTATATACAGTAAATAATGTAAGATCAAATTTCAAAAATAATTAATATATACAATAAAATCAAATATTTTTTCTTATAAAAAAATCATTATCTATAAACTAATAAAATATCATAATCTCAATATTATTAATTTATAGAGTTTTTACTATATAAACATAAGCATGTTTACATATATATACATAACATTTAACTTTTTGCCATCATATACAGAACATTTAACTTAATGGTAATAATATAATATCATGGAAAAGGAGGGTTAGAAAATGAAATATCCACTTTTTGTTTAGGAAAATGACTGGAGTAAGATTTCACCAACTCTCCATGACTCGATTTCTCAGTGGTCCAGCTTAATTACTGTATTTTTATCGTCTGATAATATTAAGTATTAAGAAAAAAAACCTTAAATGTTATAAAGGTAGGCGAAAACAACACAATAATATTATATTCATTTGTTAGGCAATATACTATAATTTCTTTGTTGAAATTGTGTTTTCTAATCTACGGCATGCTATCATAATCAATTTGTCAGAAAATAAGATCACGAAATTAGACTCTTGTAATTATATTTCAAACCAAAGCACGATCGTTTGATAATAAGACAATGCATAGAGAATGGAACTCTAACAGTAACGAAACCTCTCAAATTCTCAACAAATCCTAATAAAAAGGTACTATCTCCGTTCCTGAAAATAGGATTTTCCAAATTTATTTTTTTGTTCCATAAAGATAAATTTATATATTTTTAAAGTATTTTGTATACTTTTAAGAAATATTAATTATAAATATTTGAATTGATTAAATTTTATTGGTGGATAGTTATTAAAACGTGGACAAAAATAAATAATAAATTAAACTATAAACATATATTATATCTTTAATATGTGTAAATAATCTAAAAAATCTCATTTTTAGAAATGGAGGTAGTAAAAAATAAATAAGATCATGGACTCAAAAGACTTTACATTTTGTTTTTCTGCTTTTGGTTAAAAACGAAGATAATATAATAACAATTTACATTTTTTATCAATAATGAATATGCATTACATTATTCATATATGAAATCACCTCATGTGAAATAAAAAAGAAATGAAAATTGATAAAATTTGTGATGTCTATGTGTAAGGTATTGCTTTTAGAATATTTCCAACTCAATTTCATTTTTATACTTTAAAATAGAATAAAAAAGAATATGGAATAGAAAATAATCCAATCAGAGTTTCTTATTTCATAATGGAGTTTATTCTTCTTTTTTTTGTCATCAGTAGAGTTTATTCTATAAATGAAATAATATATTTTTTGTTTGTTATTATTCTCACTCTGTTATGGAGTGACAAATGAAATGAGATTACATTATTGAAATATATTTGTTTTATATATATTTATTCTTTGGAAGAAAAAAAAATTATACTGGAAATTATCATAGTCGGCTTCTTGTTAACGGATAAATAATCATTGTAAGCGGTAATATTACAGCTTCTGCTATACGTCTGGAGACGACGGGCTATGCGACACGAGGCATTTAGATTTCACATCACATTAGCTTTTGAGAGAATCTAAACCCTCCCGGAAAAAAGTCAAGACGAAATTAGAAACAAATGTGATGGGGTCGAGGTCACCTCAATAACTGGAGCTTTAATTGATTGATTATGGTATTGAGAATATTATGCTTCATAATTGAAAATCAGCCTTGTGGAAATATATGCCACCCAGAGAAAATGATATTTCCTGGTCTCATATTAAATATCACAATAAAGAATTTTTTTCGTTACAAAATAAGTGTTATTTTCATTTTCAATATAAAATTTATTAATTTTAGAGAAAATTACATTTTTCTTTACAAAGAGATTTTATTTTGAAAATTGCACTATACTTTATTTCTTTTGAAATTTACATTTTTCTTAAGTTAAATGTCTATAATATCCTAATAAAATGTAAATTATACTAAGAATTTAAATTTATTATTTTAAAATCATTTAATTTTAATGAGCAGTAATAAGAGAAAAATGAAAATAATCATAACACAATATTTTGTGTGAAGAAATTTCTCGGTAGTTTGAAATTTGTCAAGTTTTGATCCAGTATCTTTTCGTTTTATAAGTTCTGCATATTTTCCGTCTTTAAAAATTTCTGAGCATACTAATGACCAATGCTACGTTAACGAGCACATCAATTTTATCACTCACTAGTGCTTTGTTCCTAGTTCTATAATAATTCAGTGGAGATATTTATTTTTGTAAGTTGCAGGTTTGGTGAGATGACGAGTTTTAACATGTGAAAATTATACTATATATGTATCAAAATGATAACTTTGTTGCGTTAACTTCTCTAGTTATTAGGTTTATAATTTTTATAAAGATAAAATATTAAAGTCTTTTATAAGATTTATACTTTATTATTTAAAATCAATAATTTTGATATTGAAAATTTAATCATTAAAAGATAATATTTAACTTACCTGTCTTTTTACATATTTGACAAGTGTAATTTTCAAAAAATAAATTAAATCAATGTATTTTCAAATTTGAAAAAATAAATAGAGTATTTTCCTAATTACCCCTTAATTTTATTATGTAATTTATTTTTCTATAGGTTAAAATATGGTTAGACGTATAAGTAATTGTGTGTTTTATATATAAAATATGGAAAATTAATTATTATTAATCTATATGCATAAAGTTAAAATGACTCTTATAATGAAATAGATGGAATAAAAAATTAATTATCACTTTGTTAACTTAGTGTGTAAAATTATCTGCATAGAAAAATTCTCGGAAATTTTTTTCCACCATATATATAAATATTATAATATAAAATTCTAAATTTATAAAATCTTATTAAATATTTATGTAATTTTTGACGAATAAAGATTACTGTGCTTTGTAAAATGCTGTTTGAGATATCCTCACTAATGATATCCTAATACTAGTAAGGTCCACTAAGTGAAGACATGTAAGAACAAAGTCGTAATTAAATGGGTCCGTCTTAAAGTTGAATTTGATAGTGATATACCCAAAACTTTCTTTGGATTATTTTAACTATTGTCTACGTACCGTCAGGACACCATTTTTGTCACAAATTACCAAAAGCAAACAACAGTTAAATGTTGTAATTTCACCAAGCAATGACATATGTTACACTACTTTTGTGCTAATTAACCCTAAATGTAGTAATTTCATCAAACATACTAAAGATAGAGAGAGAGAGGTGAGACCTGTAGGAAGAGAGTGGTAGAGAGACGAGATGAGAAGGAAGAGAAGTTTGTGGTGATGATGTTGAGATCCAAAGACTCCAACACTTTACAAAGCTGCAACAAAGTCTCTCTCTTCTTGCAACATGTTATGGATACCACTACTGTCTTCTCTCCCATCCAAGTCACCTTCATCTTTTTCATTATAGAAAAAATGGAATCATATTATTTAGAAACCTACAAACAAAACATGTTTAGAAAATACATACTACGTAGTACTTACTTCAAGAACTTGGATGAGGGAGTGGTTATGTACTCTAGTAATTGATGATCTAGAGGTATTGTAATCCATATGCCTGGACTTCTTTGATCTCAGGACATTAACGTGTGAGAGATTTTGCTGCTGATTTTCGGGGAAATTATTGATGAAATCGTAATCTCTTGTAGGGTTTTCTATCAATAATGCTTGTGACTCCATCTCTCTGATCTCTGCTGCTAACCTCTTTTCTTGATCAATAAGTTGTTGCATATAATCGATCGAATCTTTGATGACAGATGCCTTGTCCAACTATACTAGTATAACCCATTAATATATTAACTGAATCCAATTCTAATCAGTCACTACACGTAAAGAGTTAAAACAAGTGTATATAATTAGGGACCAATATAATATGAGTAATTAGGGACCAATATAATATATTAGCTTGGCTTGATATAGTTTCTTATCTTTTTATATAACGTTGGTTGGCTTGATATATATATATATATATATATATATATATATATATATATATATATATATCCAAATTAAAATAAAAGAGACAGTTGATTAAATTAATACTAAGAGAAACCATTAATGAAACTAATCACACCTTGCTTATTTTGGGAACGACAGATCGGAGAGCCATGATTCTCTGATTAAGCTTTTGCCTTCTGTTCCTCTCAGAGACGACGTTCTTCGACGTTGCTGCTCCGTCCGGCGGACTAGAGTCTCCTGAACCCGACAACGCTTCTTCCAACGGCCAACTAAATTTATTATTTTTTGCAAAAAAAAAACTAAATTTATTATTTTGACACTTTCTTTAACTAATGGCCAACTAAAAAGAAAAAAAAAAGAGAGGGAAATTTACAAGACTCTGGAAGTACCTGTCAAATTCAAGTTCTTGATTCTGGAAGAACATTGTGGTTTCCCAGTAATTCTTGTACTCATTGTCAAGATGTTCCATTTTCGGACAAACACAAACAGTACACGATGCTTTCTTGAAACGGACGGTTTTGTTATTTACTTTCTCTCTGTCTTTTGATTTAGTGTACTGTCTCCAAACAAGGGTGGGCCGAGGATTTTATAGACCAAAGAGTCTGAGGCATAGAGAAGTACAGTTTTTAGGCACGTGGGAATAAATATGTAGGATCTTAATCTCCTGAAAAATGTATGATCTTGACCGTTCAATTCAGAGATATCTAAAAGAATTGATTCCTTTTATCTAATAAATAACAGAAAATCCAGAGATTGTGGTATCTTTCTATTTCACTCACAATCTGCTTTTGTCATATGGTTCTCATATGAAGTTTCTTTACAACATTCTACAAAATTAAGGGGTGTATGAGTATATAGAATGGTATGCAATAAATTGAGGTGCAACAAAGGTATAACCATGGACAACGTTTAGGAATCATAAATGTAACTAAAAACCAATATAATGTCGGATTATTTACTTAAACGTATAATTATGGAGTTTTATTTAAAAAAAATATTTCACATTAAAAATTTTAATATTTCTTTTCAAAAAGTTTCTAATTATTAAGTTTTTTAAGTGGGAGAATCAATCTTTTTCATATTTTAGTTTAAAACAACATGTATCATATTATATAGAATTGTATTATAAATATATACTAAATGTAAGAGAAGAACCAAACTAAACAAAAAAATAATTATTCACATTTTAGCCTATTTAGAATTTTTAAAATGCTCTTTTAAAAAAACAGTTAGTTCAATTCATAAAAATTGGTGCATGAATTGTATTATAAATATATACTAAATGTAAGAGAAGAACCAAACTAAACAAAAAATAATTATTCACATTTTAGCCTATTTAGAATTTTTAAAATGCTCTTTAAAAAACAGTTAGTTCAATTCATAGAAATTGTTGCAATTCATAGAAATTGTTGCAATTCAATATATTTACAAATAAATAATCAAACTGGATTGAGTTCTTATATCTAAAATCTTATGTCAAAGTAAGATAACAATATAATGTTAAAAATAATAATATTTAATTTTCAACATATAAATCATAAACCATCTTAAATTTTCTAAACAAGTGAAAGCCAAAAAAGAATTTAATCAATTATTATGTTCTAGTTGTTTTATGATATATATTTTTAGAATATCACTAATTATATTTGCTACTGCAACTCTAACTCTGATTACGTTAACACTTACAATTTATTTACTTTTCCTAAAATAATATATATCAAATCATTAAAATTTATTTACACACTACAAAAAAACATGAATATAGCGGCTGATTTTCCGGATTGATGCTGCAGTCAATAAAATTTTCGACCGTTCACCAACTGATTAGCGACGGATTTTCAATCCATAAAGTTTAGTAGTGAAACAGTCGCTAAATAACTACTAAGAAAAACAGTCGCCTATTAGTCATAAATTAGTGACTAAAATATGACTAATGTGTAATCGGTAAATAGTAGTCGGTAATCAGTCGCTAAAAACGACTGATTACCGACTGAATTATAATGGGCTTAACAGTCATCTTTTAGTCACTAAAAACCGGTATAAAATACATGGATTTTAGTTTTTAAGTAGGTATACCGAGTATTGACGACTGAATATATCAGTCACAAAATCAATCGAAAATCAATAGAAAAACAGTCTGTAAATATTATCATAAACCTAAAAATGATACCCTAAACCCTAAAAATATTTTAAACCCTAAATTTTAAATATAAGCCTTAAAACTCTAAACTGTTCATACTATAACCATAAATTAACCTTAAACTTAAACTCAAAGTTTTGTATTTTAAAATTCTAGTTTTATATTTTAAATTTAAAACTTAAACTCTAAATCCAAACCATACCTTAAATCATATACCTCAAACTCATACTAATAAACCCTTAAACTCTATTTTTTTAAATACACAAATCGTATACCCTAAACAACATATCTTACAACTCTATGTCATAAATACAAACTCCAAAACTTATATATAAAATTTTTAACATCAATTCTTAAAATTAATCTCAAATATTAACTTTAAACTTTAAAACTAATCTTATTATATTTAATAATTAATCTCAAATCTCAAATGTATAACCTAAATACTATGCACCAAACCTTAATACTTCAAACTTTATATCATAAAACACCAAACTTTGTTTTAAAACACTAAACTTTATTTATATAACTTATATTATAAAACAATAAGTTTATTTTAAATTTGAAAACCTATATCTAAGATTTTAACCCTATTAGTTTTCTAACTCTTACAAAAATAAGAAAATATTAAAAGCTTCAAACCCTTATTAAATTTATAGTTTTTCAAACTTAAAAAAAAAACTTAAATTCATACACTATATCCAAACTAGAATATCTATTTTCTAAGATAACCTTATATAAAAATCAAACATGTCAATATCATATACTCTACATAAATTAATAACTCATACATATAGCCTCATATCTTAAATTAAACTCAAAATTTAATCTTTTTTAACTATAAGTCCCATTCCCCAAATTTTAAACCCTCTATCATAAACATAACTTTTAAAGTTTGAATTTTCAAAAAGAGAGAGAGAGGTGACCTGTGTCACCATCACCACAGGTCACCTCTCTTTGTCTTTGTCTCTCTCTCTCTGTATTCTGAATCTGTTTTTTGGTAAAGGTGGTGGCAGTGAGGGTTGAATAAGGGCATATACATCAAAGGATCAAGGGAGGATCAAGGGAGAGGATCACACGCATCCCCAAAAAAAAAAATAATAAAAAATTTGAACAGTGTTGAACCCGAGCCGCAACACCTCTTCCCCATGAACCCGGATCACAACTGTTCAGCGGGCCCCACGCCACGTGGCGGCCCGCTATTGGTCAGTTTAATTTTTTTTTTTTTTTTTTTTAAAAAAAAACAAACGAAAAATAAATAAAAAATAATAATAAAAAAATAAAGTTATGAACCCCATGTTGGGGTTCATTAATGCACATGGCCTAAGAAGCTCCAGTGAGGAGGCGTTGTGCAAGCCAACAAAAAGTGACGCCGTGAAGGCTGGCCAGAGATGACAACGTGACAATGGACCGGAGAGTAAAGAGTTGCTTTAATTTTTTTTTTTTTCGGTTTAGTGTTTTTAATTTTGGTTTAGTTTGTAAACAAATTCTAATATATAAATGAATTTTAATTTAAAATCCCTTCTCGGTTTGATAAATTTTTAATATTAATTTTTTAAATTTTTAATTAAATTAATAATCTAAAATTTGATATAATTTAGTTTTATTTTTTTTTTAATTTTATACATAGTCGTAAAAGTAGTCTTAAAATCAGTCACTAACTAATAGCAATTTAGTAGTTAAATTTAGCGACTGGTTAGTGATGGATTAGCGATTGGTCGTATTAGTCACAAATCAGTCATAAACTATCGACTTATTAACGACGGTTTTATTTAGCGACGAATACTATTCCGACCAATTAAATCATTCGTAAATCAGTCTTAAATACCATTTTTGCGACTATTTAGCTACTGATTTTGCAGTCGGAAAAATCATGTTTTCTTGTAGTGACAAATTAATAGGATGAATCAAACTAATTATAAGTAAAAATATCCTTATTTTTTTGTGTACCTCATACCAAAATAAATTGTGATTTAGTTGAATAATATATACAGCCCAATACCAAAAAAGAAAAATGAACCGATTTGAATTGATATACATAAAACCACATATTTAATTGAGAAAACACCATAGTTTTAATTTAACATGATATTATATTTATTTTTGATACATATATATTATAAAAATATTTAAAATTTATTAAAAATTGAAATTACACATTAACTAATTATAGTTAAAGTTTTGTAAATATTTATATATCTGCACGAGCATGGAAACTCACCTAGTATATAAAGAATCACTTATTACAGAAAGCATAGGTGCTAGATGATAATTAATTTGTCAAATTGCAAATGCATTTTTATTTTAGTCAGGATGGCTTTGGTATTTATGGAGTTTGAAACAATTATTAAATGATTAATACATAGTATATGTTTTTAATAAATTTTGAAGCTAATTGATATCTATAATAATAAAGTTCACTTATCTGCCTCTACAATCAACCACGTCACATTTTTGATATGGGGGGGTTTGATGACACATGTCAAACTTTTGTTGGTCGGATTTTTTTTTGTTTTTTCAGTCTGCCGATTTTCAATTTACATGGGCTTGACAAGAAAATCACAGCCCAAGTGTTTTTAGAGGCCCGTATGCAGATGTTTTTCTCTTCTTCGCCGTCTTTTCTCCTTCCATTGAAGCGATTCCTCTGTCATATCAGAGAGACGCCTCATATCGATTCATAACAGTAACGCCTCTCCTTTCCCAAAATTTTGTCATTTATTTCGAAATGTTAGGAAAGGCGTTGAATTGATGAGTATTGACATACTTTTCATTGATGAAAATGTAAGTTCCTCTTTCGCAAATCTTCTCATATATTAGGTTGATATTTTTTGTGATTAAGATGTAGTTATGAGCTTTGTTTTAAAAGACAATCGATCCTGATTCCTTTAGTGAATCGTCTAGATATTTGGTGTTTGTTGTAATATAAGATTTTTTATTATAGATTTCGTCTGTGTTCGTTGACTTTGTTTTTTAATCAGATTGATAACTTATGTACTAAGATAAATTGCCATTGTTTTATGGGTGTCCACTTGCTCCTCCTTGAAGGAGAATTGGTCCAAAGTACGTCAACGTAATTACGGCGGCTATTTTCTCTATCTTTGTACGACAACGTGTGTTTTTAATTCCCACCGGAAAAATCAATTCCATTTGGTTTGTTAATATTTTACAGTGAACGATGATTTAAGACTCAGTTAACCCACACCGGCCCAAGGATTAAACTCGATTTTTAGCAGCAGCATGGCGGAAATAGATGATGATCAAATCATTTAACGTATATAAGCTGAAGATGATAGCTTAAGAAGATTCAACAAGCTTGGGAAGAGACTGTC